AAAAAAAAAAAAAAAAAAAAAAAAAGAAATTAGTTCTTTTGGAGTCACTCATTGATTACTGCAAAGAGTACTACCTGCATATGTTCACTCATAAAGATTCAGTATAAATTAAGTCTGAACACATACTTTAAAGACCAAAAAGACTTTCAGACCTGTGATATTTCATTTCATTGCCAGCTAAGTCACATTATATGGAAATTGCACAGGCTTGGAAAAGAGACTGAATTTGATATTAATATAATCTTTCCAAAAAATACATAATCTTTCCAGAAACGACTTGAATTTAAACCATGTAAATATCCCCCGGAATGAAAATGTAGGTAGACACATTGCTCAGAGGTGCTGTCTTTTTTTTTTTTGAGACAGGGTCTCACTATGTAGTTCAAACTGATCTTGGGCTCCCTTTGTAGCCCGGGCTACTCTCCAATTTGCAACGATCCTCCTGCCTCAGCCACCTGAATGCTGGGATTACAGGCGTGCACCACCATGCCTGGCACCGTTTTTTAATTTTTTATTATTTTTATTTTTTAATTTTTTTTTCAGAGGTGCTGTCTTAAGTGTTAAAAGAATTCTGTCTTTTAATTTATACCCTTTGAGGTAGAAAGCTAAGGAAGAGATTTCCAGATGAGAGAACCTAGACATAGATTCCGGTAATTTGGCATAAACAGATTTCAGAGCTGCTTTGAGTTTTGTTTCTTTTATTCATAGCTTATGTTCCAGCCTGTAAAATATTTGTGTTTTCATAAATGCATGGCTTTTGTGCTTGCTTTGGCAGCACATATACTAAAAATGTGTAGCTTTCACACGTTAAGGATACTTGGAAAACCTTGGCAAGAGGTTTGTCTAATTATTTTCAACTTGTTTGTTCGTTTTATTTGGTTCTGAGAGTCCATTGGCTCTGTTTATTTGTCTGTTCTGTGTGGTCTGTTAGTGCCCTTTGCATCTTCTGTGATACTTGACACATTACCACTGCCTCTATTTGTCAGTCTAACAGTCTCCTAGTATACTGAAGCTATTTGAGTGGAGAGCAGAGTTTTAATCGTTAGGTTTAAAGATTAACACCCACCCCCCAAGCCTGGTGGTACATTACGGTAGGTCCTCAGTAAATACTTGGAAGGACCATGGATTGTGATCCAGTTTAAAGAGAAACATTATTTAGAATGGTCTAACAGTGGAATGGGAAAACAATTCTAGTGGTAGAGTATGTTGTGGTAAAGAGTTTGACTCTAGAGTCCAGCAGACATAGGTTTTAATTCTAGTTGCCCTAAACTTCAGTTTCTTCAACTATAAGTGTACTGAAACTATACCTATTGTTGAGTAAATACTTAATAAAATTTAGCTATTATTATTAGAGGAGACACCATCTTATTTTATTTTGAAGAAAGTAGTAAATGCGCAACAAACAAAAAAATCGAACAGTAGCAGCATACCAGTGTCATGAACATAAACAAATCAAAGCAAGAACATTCAAAGTGATACAGGGTCTCAAGGCAAAATAATACGAATCAACGGTGGTTACATTACATATTGCTATCCTCAACTACACTGCTCAGATTACCAGATGTAAGAATGAAAGATTGGTCAAACCATTAAAGAGAAGAAGAAAATAATTCTTTGATAAAATATTAGAGATAATACAGAGTTTCACTAGACAGGATGGTAGGAGTTCACCATTGTAATTCCCTTGCATATTGTTACCTTCAAATTAGTTACTGAGACTACCACACACAAGCATGCAAAATCGATCAGAACATAAAAAAAAATTGTAAGCATTAACCGTTCATTTCAATATGCCATCAGCCATGAGCAATACAGTTATCACAGCTATTCATATATGTTTATATTTTGCCTTCCTTCTTTCTTCTTTCCGTTTACCCAGTTGTTCCTTCCTTTGAGCAATTTCTTTCCCTTTCCTATTATCTATTGTATGTTTTGAGTTTTACCTAGTCTTTCAGGTTCCTGCACCAAGAAGACAATATGATGTTTACACATCTGGGTCGAATTTATTTCACTTATGAATATAGTCTCTAGTTGTATCCATTTACCTACAAAAGCCTTGAGTTTATCTTTTTAAATAGCTGAGTAATACTCCATTGTATAAAAATACCACATTTTTTTTTTTTTTTTTTTCTGGTACCGGAAATTGAACTCTCTACCTTGCACTTGCCAGGCAGGCACTGTGCCACTGAGCTAAATCCCCCGCCCCCAAAATACCACATCTTTTTTATCCATTCCTCAGTGGATGGGCATCTGGGTTGTTTCCAAGATTTAGCTATAACAAATTGTGCTGCTATAAACGTGGGTGCATATAAATCGCTGTGTGGTATGATGTCTTTAATTCTTCTGGAAAAATACCCAGAAGGGGAATAGCTGGGTTAAATGGGACTTCCAATCCTAGTTTTGTGAGGAATTTCTAAACTGATTTCCACAGTGGTTGTACCAATCTACACTCCCACCAGCAGTGGAGTAGAGCTCCTTTCTCCCCACAACCTCTCCAGCATTTGGTATTGATTGATTTCTTGACGATAGCCATTCTTTCTGGAGTAATATGGAATCTCAGTGTTGTTTTAATTTGCATTTCTCGAATGACTAATGATGTTGAACATTTTTTGTGTATTTATTCACCATTAGTATCTCTTCATTAGAGAAGTGTGTATTCATCTCAGATGCCCATTTTGGATTGGGTCTTTGAATTTGGGGGTCCTGAGGAGATGCCATCTTACCTTTCTGTGTGATCGGGAGTGATAGTTGGATGGTTCAGCTCCCCCTTTCCTCTATTTCCCTGTGGATTACTTTGAAATAAATTTAAGTAATCTTATTTCAGTATAAATGCTTCGGTGTGTGTCTTTAGAAAATAAAGATTTTAAAAAACAAACAGTATAGTTATTTCTAAAAATTAAAGCTAATTCCTAATAACATCATTTGTTTTTTATAGTGGTTTGTTCAAATAAGAATCTAAACAAGACTTGCACATTACATTTAGTTACGTCTTTTACATATCTTTTAAAATAGGCCAGGGATATAGCTCAGCAGCATAAGCGCCTGCCTGGCAAGCGTCAGTCATGAGTTCGATTCCCCGTAC